TGATAACACCTCGCAAAGTACTGATGAATATACTGAGCATATCAATTAGGCAACACATGCCAACAATATTAATAAATATACCAAGTATGTCAATTTAGGCAACACATGCCAATAATATTAATAAATATACCGAGAATGTCAATTTAGGCAACACATGCCAATAATATTAAACCACATACCCCGACAGCCACACATCTGTCTATCGCAACGAATGCATAAGGTATAAATGAGTCTAAACTTATTAGCCAGCTCATATGGTTCTATATGGCAACACATCCATATAATATAAATGCGACATAATTAAACAGTCCATTTATTTCCTGAAATGCACACAGCATAATAATCATGGTTTATATATTAATTAACAGTATAAACATCCTATAAGATATCATGGATAATTTATCTGACTAAAACCATGGCCTTATTTAATTTAACAGTAATGTTTGATACCATTAAATACGATAATAACACTATTTATATTTAACAATGTCGTTAAATAAATCACATTAGTATCCGTACTGCGAACGAGCCAATAAATGCTTAGAAAAGATTAATCGGCCATAAGAATAAGTAACGGGTGTTAAAATAATAATTTCGTGGCCCGTTAAACCCGTAATTACCAACACAATACCTAAAAATCCAAGTTTAAGGTTCTGGAATTTACAAAACAGGTCCTAGGGGTATTCTGGTAATTTCCAGTAGCTGTAGGGACCCCACACGCGCCCTCACGCGCCTCCCAGAGCCTCCCCACGCGCAGCCCAACCTTCCCCACTCTCCCACGCGCCTCCACGCGCGTCTGGCATCAGCCACGCGCTCCCACGCGCGTCTGGAGAGTCCCACGCGCTGCCACGCGCTGCCACGCGCGCACTAGGGGTGCCTTGCTGACGCGGCGTGTGCTGGTTGGTCGGTTGCATCAGATTTCCTACGTGCGCGCCACACCGGATCAATCCATCTACATCTCCTCCATCCAACGTCCACGGATCCGGGTGTACCGCGGTATCATGGACCGCGATGCACCGGATCAATCAGACTCCACTAATGGCCAGGATGCGCGCGTACACCCTCCTATGGTGCGCCGCGTCGCACCGGATCACTCCGGTCGTCTCCCCCACTGCCGGCGACCGGAAAACTCGCCGGAAGGTCGCCGGAAATTGCAGAAAATGCCCGGAAAAATCTAGAAAATTCTAGAAAAATCCCTAAAGTCTTATTTAATTATTTTTAGCCATTATAAATTTCATAGGACATTAAATAAATATATACCATCCTATATAATTAAAATTCCATTAATTGAATAAAATAAAATTAATAATTTATTAACCTCTAAACCTTGGCTCTATGCATAAAACTAAACTAAACAATTAATTTATTAATTCAAAGGGGAAAAGTAGATAATAACTTGCCTTTTTGGATTTACAAATAAATCCGCCGGTCTGCGCGTAGTCGGGTAAAATTGCCTACACCGGTCCAAGCTTCTTTCTCTTTCTCTTTTCCTTTCACTCTTATAAAATAGCTCTCAAGAATTTATACTTTGCTTCTAACTCCCTTTATTTTCTTCTAAGGCAAGCTAGTTAATTTATATACAAAATATATAATATAAATATTACAAATATCTTATTTTTTTCATCAACTAACCATCCTCCCAACCATATGGCTTCAATTCCAACCATAACCATTGATGCAATCCTATCATAATCTCTAATTTCATCATGACTTTGGTTTAATACTATTATTATTATTATAACTATTATTATTATTATTACTAATATTATTATTAATAAACTTTTATTATTATTATTATTATATTTTTATTATTATTATTATTAAACTAATATAATTATTATTATTGTTATTACAAAATAATATATTATATCATCATAATACTTTATAACACAAATATAATACTCTAATTAACTAATATTGCTTAATTAAACATAATCAACAAATAAAAGTAATTAAAATAATACATGCACAATTAAATGAATAAATTTACTATTTTAACATACACAATTAATTTACATGCACAATTAAATGAATTTAATAAAATAATGTAGTATGCACAAATAAATAAAATTAATTAACCTAACACAAAATTAATTTAAATACATTCTTTAAAATTACGGGGTATTACACAAACTCTAAAAAAGTAGGACATAGACACAATGTGAACATAATGAATATAAATATTAATTTATATATCTATGTAAGACATTTATAATTTGTATACCAAAGTTAATTAAGTTAGAAAATGAAGCTAATCCAAAATAAAAAAGAGTAAATTATATTTTATTTGACCTTGTTCATTACATACGGTAACACGTGTTTGAGTGTCAATTCCATGTTAATAATGTTGTTTTCAAAATTATCATGTAAATGATTTTAAATAAGATAGAAAGTGTATGATGTGATATTTATAAGGAAAAAAATAAAATTGTATGATGTGTTGGTTGAGTTTTTAGTAATAAAAAATATTATTGTAAAATTGTGACATAATTATAAAAGTGACGGGCACATGTTCAAAAGTACTTTTGAAGTGTCGGTGTACGTTTAACACGGATACAACACATTTGTAAAAATATTTATACTTCTTAAAACGTAAATTATAAAAATTCAAGCCGGTAGATATTAAAATAAAAAATAAAATGGTAGTTCAATGTATACTTTTATACTTCATAAATAAGGCCAGATACAGAAAAGGACAATGACAAATCTACCTTCCTCATAATTATTTTACTAGTAGTCTAGTACCAACTAGAAAGAGAGAATGAAACAGAGTTCGGCTCACTTGTATACTTTATCGAGAGAGAGAGAGATACTTGTTTCCGGAACATAAATTTATCAGAAAAAATCACCAATATTATACGTTACCCATTTTTTTGTTTTTTCTATTATATACCTATAAAATATTAAGATTACTCCACTAAAATTAAAAATAAAATTCACTATTGACCCTACCTTGTAATCAATAACTACGTTGAACATCTCACTTCTCTCTGCGATAATTTGAATTTTTTTATTTTGTTGTTAAAGATCCTCTCCCTCTAAAAACATAATTTTCTAATCCGCCCCTACTTCAAATGACATTTTTTTCTTGTTCATGTAAAGGAAAGAATTAGCAATTAATTTTGAATGCACTTTTTCTTTTCTTTTTTTAAAATATTGCCCCTATCAAATTTGAACAAAATCATAACATTTGGGTAATGTCATATGTAATTAGTTAATTATTAATGCTACTCTTTTTTCTTCACATATATATTTTTTCACTTGGAAAAATGCATTCAATTAGAGCTGGAAGCCTGGAAGGGAAATTCTCATCCAAATATACATTACGTGAGACAATAAAATACGTTATTATAATTTTGTTACATAGAAAACATATCCTAGTTCAAACTATAAAAGATGGAATACATGCTATTTTGTCTCAAAAAAAGAAAAAAGAAAAAAAATGTATATGCAATGAAAATTTCTTCACTTGGCATAATGAATATAAATATACATTATTATAGGCACCAAAAAAAAAAAAAAAAAGGAAACATCTCATCGAATGTGCAAAAAACTCTAGTGTTAAAAAATCCCCTTAAATTTTTCAAATTGAACAAATAAAGACGTTTTCTCATTTTGAAGACTAAAACCTAAAATGCCCTTAAAAATAAAAAGACACATATATGCACAAATTTTATTAAGGATTTTTTTGGAGTTTTTATAAATTAAAAAGGACAAGGCTTGTTTATTCACAGTAGGTCTTGTCTATTCACCTGTAGGTCCTTTCTATTCCTTCAAAATTAGAAAAGTGATAAATAAGAAAACAAGAGAGGGTGACCGAATTTATTCCAAAAAAATGTTATTGTCCTTATTTACCACTTTCCCGATTTATTATTATAGACTATTTGTAAATTTGTGATTGGACCACATTATTAGTGAGTAAGAATGACCAACTTATCGGTGAGCAACTCTTGTCTAATTAAAAAAATGTCAAATTTGACAACAGGGTACAATTTGTTAAAAAAAATTAAATTATAGGGATATGCACACGCTGAGAGTATAGAAAAATGTTAATTTGTTAATTTAATTTATTTGTCATTAATAGGTGTATTTTGGATAATTCAATTTAAAATTTATTCCATTCTAAATTTTAAATTGGTGTATATATGGAAAATGATTTTTGCATTGAATAGTTGTAATGAATTGCTCGACTTACTATTTTAATTGGTCAATTATACAACAAATAAAAAAGCGGTGTGACCATTACTACTATTATTATATTATATTCCTACATATTTCATATTTATAACTAAACAATAGAACGATAATAACCATTTCATTTCTATTCTCATCATATTCACCCTTGCATTTCATTTCATTCTAGATAATGTGACCAATTTTGCAAACTGAACATATTACTATGTATTATATGAATATATATATATATATACACACACACATACACACACATAGTGGGACTGTGTGAGGAGATATATTATAAAATAGATTTGAATGGGGTGTATATATAGTATGGGAATGTTTTAATGCGATATATATACTTTTTTTTTTTTTATTTTTAAAACCAACAAAGCAACCGATATACACACACACTGACACACATATATGAGTAATCTTATTACCGCCAAAAGTTTGACTCAAAAGAAAAGATGACGACTTTCTATTTTCAATAGATAGACGTAATTAGTATGAAGCTCTTTATTTCTTATAAACTCTTCTGCTTTAAACTTATATATATATATATATATATATGTATATATATGATAATGGTCTATTGCTCATTCCTGAGCAAAAAAAATTATTTTATTTCTATACCTACCATACATAGTGACCGTGACCGTTGGATGTAAAAAAATGTTAAAAAAAAAAAGAAAAAAAAAAAGAAGTTTTGTTTAACAATTACTTGTTTCATGTTTTTGTTTTGACCCGAACATAATTAAAAGACGCATTGCATACTCCTCAAGTGTAGGTGCAGGTGGCAATTTATTTGCAAACCCAAGTGAAGCAAAAAAAATTAGAGTGGGCATATTAAGTGGTGTCTTCATAGTTCCATACAAAATAATAATATGCAACCTCTACTGGAGGGAGGTAAGAACTCCACATTTCTACCAAAAGAATATATCAAGATCAATCCTTCTGGATCAAAACAAGCTATTCGACCCAATTCTGCAGGTGTTATCGAAGATTTATTACAATCTAAAAATCACAATTTTTATCAGTACCAAAAATAAATAAATAAAAATAAAGCTATAGGTATTTCCAACAACACAAAAACTGTAATCACCTTTGTGAACACATACTAGGTAGTCAGAACATCATCTGATCCTTGAATGCCTCATGGACATTGCATAACTAGAACAAATTTATATAAACCCCTTCATGCAAAAGTAACCAGCAAATTCTGAACTCCAAGCCCAAACCTCAGTGCAAAATTGCAAAACCAATTGTTCACAGAACCAATATTTCCCATTCAATTATGACATATAGCAGACAAATGAATAAAAGTAGGAGTTTGTCAAGAATGGCCAAATCTGTGGTGACAGAAGCTCTTGATCTACCTTTGTGCCAAACAAGGCCAGTCCAAGAACCCTAGAAAATTTAAATCTGATCTCCCAAACTGTCTGATCCTCTTCTTTTTCCACTTTCATTTTAAGATATCTACTCACCTGGGTCCTCCTGTTATGGATGAGAAGTAGAAGGTCCTTCTCCATTAATAGCCCCTCCATCGGCAGTTGCATCTCCACAATCCACGTCCATCCACGCTGCTTCATCCACAGGCCAATCATCCATTGGGTCCATTTCTTCATTCACTGTGCCATCAGTATGACCCAACTTGAAGTTCCGCAACTGCATATTATACTGAACAAATGTCAGATCAGTCAATCGTTCTTGCTCGATACGATTCCTTCCTTTTGTGAGCAGCTTCTCGGCCAATGTCCTCTTGAGCCCATACTTTGAAGCACCATCGCACGTCTGGCTTTGAACTCGAATGGCCAGTCTCTGCAGTTCAGGACATTCTCCTCCATAGTAGGACCACCAAACAGCTGCAGCCAAATTTTATAGGATACAAAATTAAAGTCTTAATTTCGAAATGATCAAAATAGATAAAGACGTAAACAATCAAGAGGACACAACAGATCTCTGTAACCTGGAGGAACATTCAATCGTTGGTCAATGGCACTTCCCTCGCCAAAGGCACCCTTAGCCTTTCGATACTCATCAATTTGTAGCAAAACCAGATCCTGAACATGTTTGTCTTCCACCATATGGAAAATGGAGCATGATAGGCCACTGAAAACCTCAGTATCAAAGAAGAAATCACTTGAATAAGTAAGAACTGGGTTCAAATAGTAACCAGCACAATGAAGAGGACTGTGGAGATGCTGGTTCCAAATCTCATCAATTACTTCCCAGAACGGCATGTACTTTGCTTCCTTCTTTCTAAATTCCTCTTTAATTGTTTCCTTAACCTGATCCATCGTTTCATATATTAAACAAAGTTTCGGCTCATCATCCCCATTGATTAATTCCAAAGCACGCACCAGTGGGATAGTTGCCTTCAAAACCATAGTGGCTCCAGACCAGAAAGAGCTGCTCTCCACTAAATTAGCTACTCTTTTCCCTTCCATGCTAGAAGCCCAGATTGAGGTATTCCACTCAGAAGAAACAAACATTTTCTTTAGGTTCGCCTTTTCTGACACGATATTCTCTAGAGTCAAGAAGGGCATCGCTGACTTAATGTTGGAGGGCTTAATTAGGTCACAGCCATCGGTGTGATATCTTAGAAGCTCTAAAACTGCCGCATGACCATAAATGAATTTTGTAATGATTTTGGCCTTCTCCAATACCCCTTTAATGACATCTATAGCTCCAATTTTCTCTAGCATCAGTGCTATGCAATGAGATGCACTGACTGTCCAGAAGACTGTCCTGTGTTTTTCCATAAAAACCTTGCCTGCAGCCTCCATCCAGGCTGATGCAGAATATGTAACTATTTGTACCACATTCTCAACCCCAGCCTCCCCAATAACTTCATCAAGAAACAACTGGAAGGCATCAACATTTCCCACATAGGATGAGATATCAAATGAACGAAGATAAATAGGTCCTTGTGGGCAATCAACTAGAACATTGATCAGATCTTGACCATTCCCATCGATCCATCCGTCCAGTATAACGCTGCACCCAGTGCTTTTCCATGAATCTCTGATCTCCTTCACATACTGCTGCATCTCTTTTAGTTCTTCCTGAAGGATCCACCCTTTCAACCCCTGACAAGTGGGGATCTTAAATCCAGCTTCACCACAAGCTAGAGTGGCGTTAATCATTTTCTGGAAGCTAAGAGATTTCGCAACACGAAAATCAATGCCAGATTCACAGAAGAATCTACCAATGCATTTTTGAGCTTCTCTTGACAACGGACTTTCTATTGCATTGGTGGCTGCTAGGGAACCTATTCTTCCCTCAGAAAAAGAAACAGATGCCCTCTCACTATTTTTTGATGTAGAGTTCTCCTTATCCCGCTTTTTGCTCCCACATCCAACTGTTTGAGTGGCTTCCAATGTATTACCATCACCATTCGAGTAAGGAGACCAATTCCTCTTCCAAGGAAGATTTGGGTGGTGGAGCTCCCCGACTTCCTTGCTCAAGTTTCCTTGTTTCGATTCAAGTAGCTTGTTTCTCATTAGTTCCTTCACGTCTGCAGGAACTTCCATACAAGGAGATACATCTCCCCTTATGCCTCCTAAATGGTAACGAAGGCGGCTGAAGCCACTACTTATAACTTTACCACAATAATTGCATTTAACTCTTCCCTTTTGCCCATCAAGAGCCAAACCGTGATCATGTACATCAATGGAGACTTCATTCGCAGCCATTTTTATTAAACGGATCCGGAAGCCCTAAAGAGGTGGTAATCAATCCTAAGGTAGAGAAGGTATTGCAAAACTGACTAATCACCTTCTTTTTCCTTTTGTTTTTACCTCTTCTTTCTTCCCCAAGGGTTATTGCTCCTCACCAAGTAATATTATAACCAACTCCTGTACTTTTATACTGATCTAAACTAATTTTAGTGATGTGAATGAACAATTGAACTAGCCAAAAATCATGAAAAGCCAACGTATGAGTAAAGCATTTCCACTAAGTTAGGACTGCAGACAGCTGAGAGCTCTAGAATTTGGTCCTGAAAAATCAAATAATTTACAACGTAAAAAACACAGGTTTAGACAGAGTAGTTCAACCAAGTCCACCGAGTTCAACCATTGACATCATAAATAATTTAGATATGAATACCGTATGGAAGAAAAAAGGCGCAATAAGTAATGTATTTCAAAATTAAAAAATCACAATAAAGAAAACAGAGGCAATATAGAAAATCTACAATATGACAACTGTGATCTTAATGAAAAAAAATGCAATGCACCAACAATGATAAATGCATTTTCCTATACATACTAACATAATAAATCTTTCGAAACTAATATTTCAAGATGCAGAATTATAATCAATGGCATGGGTTGCAATCACATGCACTTTTTTTTTTCCCTAGTTGATCACATGCACTTCAATACTACTGTTTCAAAATGTCTTCAACAAATTAAAGAGCATTGATAAATTAATCCAAAATCCTACACAAGGAACTCAAAGAAAAAAATACCGTGTGTGCAATTCATAACTAGTTCATCAGAAAGAAAGCAAAATAAGAAGTGCACAACAACAACAAAGCCTTGTCCCAACTACTTGGGGCCGTCAACCACATTTTATCATATCCTTCATTACTCACTCTACCCACGTAAATTTTGGAATTCCCCTTCGCCTAACATTACCCTCAATGTGGACCATGTCACTCTTCCTAACAGGCGCAGTTAAAGGTCTTCTGTGCACATATCCAAACAATGTTAACCAATTTTCTCTCATTTCGTCTCCAACTGGTGCTACTTCAATGAAGCAAACAGAGATAAACAAAAACTTTTTACAATAGTAAGAAAGACTAGAATTACTCCAACAGATTTGTTACAACAGAGGGAGAGATAGTGGTGTTCCCTTATACGATATAACTACTAATGACTCCTGATTTCTCCTAGAATGCCTTTCAGAATCCCCACACAGCAAAACTTAGTAGTTTCAAACCTTATTTAATAACTTTTACTCAAACAAGGAAAAATCTTGACTTCATTACACAACAAGACACTTTCCAAGGCACCATTCTTTATTTGCATCATTCAACCATCTGACCAATGTGTTCACTCTAAGGTCTTAAGCACATGTCCAAAATAAGACGAGGACAGTTACAAAATACACACAAATGGATGACATGAGAGCGTACTGGAGACTTGGAAGAACACCCAATTGTACTCCAAGACAAATTTAGAACAGACTGAAATTTATACTAAAATAAAATAAAAAATATCCTTAATGGGATCAAATTCCAGATAATTGCTATCACAAAAAAATATCAGATTTTCTTTCGTTGAAGAAAAATCTAGAAGAATGCATAATGAAACCAAAGGAGACCAAAACAGTAAGGCATGTAACCAAGATTAATTGTCTAGTTTCAAATAGCCTCCTAGACCTTTTTTTTCCCCTTTCCTGATAAATCCACGCCCTCCTTAATTACTTTTCTGATTAGGTATCCCTTGTTTTATATCAGTTTTTAACGAACTGAAATTGAGTAAACAGAAAAGAGGATGATCATCACCTAAGGTGTATATAGGCTGTGACAAGGCATATATTCTCTACTTGTAACATCCACAAAACTCTAAAATTAACAGACAAAACTCTGGTTCAGATCAGATGAGATGTCTCAACTCATACATGATGACAAGCAAGTGAACAAGAAAAAGGTAAGTTGTACTTTATACAAAGTTTGGGACCTTTCATTGATTTGAATTTGAATTTTATATTCCTATAGGTTAGTTTACTTCAGAATCTGTTAGACATGGATTAGAGTAGTGCTTAATGGACTATATAATAGGTCAATGTATGTAACTGAATCTATATATGAGGCTTTTAGCAGGTGCAGAATAATCTTACTAGTAAAAGTTCAAAAAATTTCTCCCTTTATCTGTCACTTACAACCACCACCCCAAACCCATAACAAATAAAATTTAAAATAATAATAATGATATGAAGTTAATGCTCAGAGTTTACTGTTACAGTGCTGGAACAATTCAGGAATGACCCTAATATGCACTTATTTACATTCCATTTATCTGACCAGCCCACATCAACCCTTACCTTTCTTCCTAACTTTCTCGCCTTTAGTTTAACACATAAATTATAAAATTAGTTGGTATATACAATTTTCAGTGAAACCAAATTGCTGAAATTCTTACAGTTATCACTTGTAGACCAAACCAATTACATCCCTTTTATCAACAGCTCCTACAATCTATCTTCCCCCTATTGTTTAAGTCGTAAACCTAAAGCATTACAGAACATTAGCCCACCATAAACTAAACCATATAAGGTATTCTCCAAGTTTTCAAAAGTTATCGCGCATCAATCCAACAGTAAACTCTTTTCATTATTTATCATCTTCCACTTACTTACTTTTACAACATTTGTACTGCTCAAAGAACCAAACGTCACCCTAAACCAGTGCTTTTCCCAACCCAACGAAATATTTGAGTACCTACAAAAGGTATTTTACTCTTTCTTCTTAAGGAGTTGTCCTCCATTTTCTTGCATTATGACAAATTTTACTCACAAGCTTAACGGCACCAAAGCTTCCAGCTAAGATGAAATGATGAAGCACAATGTCTCTACCACCTTACAAATTGAAAACAACGCCTATGTTTCAGTAGTGACTTAACCAAAAAGGTCAGGATGCCGGAATTTTTGCAAGATCTAATCAAAATGTATATTTTGACCAGCGGCCATGCATAAATGATATCCTTTTTCATCTTAAAAAACCAAAAGGTTATTTCAGTCATTATTTAAATGATTTTCATTCGAGAAATCACACAGGTTTCTGGATACAGTGATGGGATTGGGCATACTAATTACATGGGACAACCAAGTGTCCATCTAGGGGCCTTTACTTTGAAATTACTGCTTGCAATATGGTGATGGGATTCGAACTCACTATATTGAGTTTCTAACAACAGGATGTACATGTTATTTTTATTATATAGAGATCTTAAACAAGATGGGCTCCTTCCGATTCACAATCACTGATTGTTCTAGCAGGTAATGAATTTTGAAGCACATGATTTTCAATATTGATGAGATTCTAACATGGTTATGGATTTGAAACATATGGTTCTAGATATTGATGAACAAATAAGTTATTCAACCATCTATTACATGCAATCTTCATAATGCTCAAGAAAGGTCAAATGTTTCAAATCATTTGCAAGGTTTCAATCAATCATTATCTCATTAACAAACTACAACTTTGCTTCAAGATGAGGTATCCATACACACAGAAGGGGAAAAAAGGAAAACAAAACAAAAAAAAGAAAAAAAAAAAGAAGTAAAAACAGTTCCAATGTTTCTAAATAAAGCTTTTACACATAAATATACACACTAAGGAACTTAACACGCAGGTGATGCAAATAGTTTCTCCCATACCATTTAATTAAAATAAGATTTTTTGATGCTCACAGTAAAGAAACTGCTCTTAAATAGTATAAAACAAGCACACATAAAACAAAACCAAAACCAAAAGCTAAATATTTTCTTTCTATTGTGGAGGATGTGTGGGCATAACACCACATGACAAAGCCTTTGTCAGTAAGTATTTCACAGCCAAACTTACTGCACGAGATTTTCTGCACACATCATAGAGTCATCATCCATGCATTGAACTTTCTCACATTGAACCTTCCATTATAGCTTCGTCATGACATTTAATAACATAAATTCCCTCAGTAAGATTACAGAAGCCCAAATACTACGTAATCATTGATACATTATCTACTTTATGAATGTTGAAAATCCAAAGGCCTGTGATTCTATCAAGATCATTATTTCAACTGAAAATTGACGACACAGAATACATTTAAGAATGCTAATTTGGAAAAGAATCAACGACTTGACCAAAAGACATTAAGGATTTCTCATGGAATAAATAGGTTCTAATCAGAACAGAGTTAATCAAGTTTTATACTCTTCTTTGTTTTCTTAATCACTAATTTAGAATTAAACATGAGAAACTAAGAGACTGTTACATTGTCAAGGAGAGTAAAATTAAAGCCATGTGAGGCAATTCGTTTCCCTCTAAGGAAAGCATGCATTGAAGATTTCCCTGAAAGAGCAGTCATTTAAAAATGGAAACAATCTTTTTTTTTTTTTGATAAGTAAAAATGGAAACAATCTTAGTTTTTTTTTTTTTCTTCTAAATAATGGTATGGCCTTTGTGACGCCTGAAAGAACTACAAAGTCAGACACATAGATATGGGTAAAAGTTTTGAAATTATTTATTTATTGGTAGTTTTTTTTTTTACTGCAATACCAGAAGAGCTGAAAAAAAAAAGAAAAAAAAAAGGGAGATTCTAAAGAACAGAAAGATAAGGCAGATAAATTTCAGAGGCCATAGCAACTTGACAGAGATTTCCTTTCTAAGATCACAATCAGAGCGTGCACACACACACACACACACATATATACTGTAACCATTCAAATAGATTCACGAGATCAACCAATAATGATAAACATTTTAATAGTTGAACTAAATTGGAATTGGAGACAAGAAAAAAATAAAGATTAAAAGGAAGACGGAGGCTTTACCTTGTCAGACTGTGGGTAAGGTAATAACTAACCAAGCAGTAGAATAGAAGCAAAGAAGAAGAGGGGGCCTGTCTCAGCACTGTTAATTTAGGTTGCCATATGTTTTTATATCATCAGCTATGACAGAAATAAAATTGCACCCGACTCATTGGATAGAGACGACGTTTGCTATTATCATGACAAATATGATACCCATTCTTTATTCTCTGTGTGTGCACACGTGTCAGAGTCAGCCTGTGGGAAAAAGAACTAGTACTGGTAGTGGTAAGAAGTGATAGAGTATTAATGTTCTAGTTGGTTAGATTCCTCCCTTTTTTAGAGCTCCGACACGTGCTGGACATATGATGTCTTAGATGCCTATTCCCACATCAACCCGCAGCCCGACCAAAAACTCACGCTTCTGTAAACACATGACTTTCCTACTGTTTCCCCACATAGGGGCATAAATATTGCACCAATTGACATCACTCAATTAATCTATCCCTTCCCACTTGCAGGAGAGAAAGAAAAGAGATGGAGTGACAGAATTGTCCCTCACATGATGATGGAATGATGATTGATGATGACGACTATGACAGTGCTGAGGTCTCCTCAGTCCTACGTACAGAGAGTGTACCGAAAAAAGAAAATTAAAAAAGAAAACTAAAAGAGAGAGAGAGAGAGAGAGAAGGATTGATAGGTCATTGAATACAAGGGTACAGCCAATATTGAGGACACATCCAGGTTAGGCCAGTCTGAGGTCAAGTGAAGAAGGAAAAAGAAATACTAATAGCGGCTTTGAAAAGTCCATAGTAAATTCCCTTTGCCAAATGCCTTTAACGTCAATTAATTTTTGTTAGTTTCCAAGTACACAAATTTTACCAAAGCATTAATGCAACCAACGGCCACATTTATAAATGCTGAATCCTCCCAAATTTTTCTCCAATTAATTTATGTTTCTTGGTTTGGAAAAATAAAAGAGAAGGAAACTTTTCCATTCAAACATCCAATTTTGCCACCAATCATTTCTATAATTCTAGTAGCTGACTAGTCTAAAACAACGAATACTTAAAGCCATGACAACCCATAATTTGCTTGTTCCACTGCACTCTGAGAGGGGTGGAATTGAAAAAGAGTAATGCTACTGAAGTACCATTTTCAGTAGGTAAATTTCTCCTTAAGTTGCTTACCTTTCAAATAGGCTTCTTAGCTTTTAAAAAGTAAATAAATCAAATGGCCTCAACTTTTACTTTCTAATAAACTGGACTCTTTGGGAAGCAATGTATAGGATTGTAAGTTTCTCCTTTAAAGGAAGGAATTGAAATAGAAAACACAAAGGAAAATGATAATTTAGTTCCTAAGGTTCATAAATGTTGTTAAAGGGAATAATTTTTCTAGTGTTAATATTCTACAAAACCCAAAAACTCTTCCTGAGCTAGGCAGGTGACATGCCTTGACATACGTAATGCCAAGAATGAGAACAAATAAGAGGCAAGTTAAATTCATGCCAAGAGAAAGTGGGACCTTAAGTAGTCATGTTTTGGTATAATTTGCGTCTTCATTTTATGTTTCCATAGGTTAATTTACTTCTTGGTAAATTTAAAGTTTGTTAAACATAGGCTTAAGTGGTAATTCATGGGCTTTATAATGAGTCAGTTTGTGCTACTGGGTCAATAAATGTAGCTTTTAGTAGGTCTATAATAATCCTGATAGTCAAAGTTGTTTCAACTTTTCCCTTCATCAAATAAGTATTCCTAGGAACACAAACCTACAAAAAACCCCAAGTCAATCTTTACTTTATTAAGGTTTTGCAAAAGGTCTAGAAATGGCGATCCATAAAGGTCATTATTTAAAAAAATAAAAATCAATGACACGTTCAAATCAAGAATGCTAATCATAAGACATTCACGATTTCTCATGAAGCAAATAGATTCCAGTGAGACCAGACCATTCGGTGAATCAGGTTTTCTAATTTTTTCCCCTTCTTAAATGGGCTTTAGGTTAAGAATTCGAAACAAAGGAGATTAGGTGGACGATCATTAAGGAGAGTAGCACAAAAGAGGTTATTGTGTTCTCAAGGCAGCATAGATGGAAGAGTACCCCGGAGATAGGTCAGTTAAAATTGAAGTTTGGTCTAAAATAGCAGTTTTGACATTCTGACGCCTGAAAGAACTACAACAGATAGAATAGGGTAAAAGCATCTAAGACTATTTATTTACTTATATATTTTACTTCTATTCAGAATTTGTAATGCAATACCCAAAGCAAAAACAAAACCAGAAAACACAAAAACAAAAGGAAAAGGGAAAAAAAAGAAAAAAGAAAAAAAAGGAGGGTTCTAAAAACAGAACAAGATAACTAATAAGACAGATCACTTGCAGTATACAAATACATAGCCATTCAAATAGGTTCAGGAAATCAAACACAAATACAAAGGAAAAGAAAGAGGCTTTACCTCAGATAGTGGCGGTGAGGTATAACAAAGCAGGCAAGCTTGTTTCACTAGTGAATGGTGATTTGCACCTTAAGAACACCACCTACAACAAAAACAATAGACGGAAAACAAAGAATTAGAACAGAAGCAAAGAGGAAGAGGAGATTTGTCTGAGGACTGTGGACTAGGGTTGCAAATTGTATTTTGTAGATTTATATTGATATCATCGGTTACAATGGAAGTAGAATCGCACTCATGTGATTTGGATAGAGATGTCATAATTATGTAATGACAAATATGGTGCCGTTTCTCTCTCTCTCTGCGTAAGTCTGTGGGCCAACAAACTAGTAGTAATGGTGGTGGTAAGAAGCGAAAGATAAGTAACACCCATTTGCTTAAAATCCGTGGTGGTAAGAGGAAATAAAGAGGTAACGCCAATTAGGTAAAACTCCTCCTTCCTCCGGAGCTCTGACGTGTGCTAAACAGATGTCTCATATGTCCATTGCTACCTAAATCCCACCCTAAACAGACACACATGGTTCCTCGAAGCTGTGGCTTTTCTATCATCGGTTACAATGGAAGTAAAACCGCACTCGTGATTTGGATCGAGTTGTCATAATTATGTAATGACAAATGTGGTGCCGTCTCTCTCTCTCTCTCAGAGTCAAGTCTGTGGGGTCAAAAAAAAAGTAGTGGTGGTGGTAAGAAGCGATAGAGAGGTAATGCCCATTTGCTTAAAATCCTTCCACCTCCAGAGGTCTGACGTGTGCTAAACAGATGATGTCTCAGATGTTCATTGCCACCTCAATCCCACCCCCAAACAAACACACATGGTTTCTTAAAGATGTGGCTTTTCTAGTGTTCCCATCTGGGTAGTGTCCGCATCTTCTAATCAGGCTGTCCCATGTCAGGGCATAAGGATTGCCCCTTTGATGTCTCTTGATTCATCCCCTCCCTTACCACATCCAAGAGAGGGAGGAGAGGAGATTGAATGACAGAATTGCCCCTCACACAATGAAGAATTATGACTGATGATGACAATGACAACAATTTACACGTGATCTAGACTCCTGACTGCAAAGCAAGTGGACAAGAAAACCAAAAAAAAAAAAAAAAAGAGAGAGAAAAAGAAGGGAAAAAAAGAAAGAAAAAGAAAAAATGGATAGGTCATTATTCACAAAGTAACAACCAAGTGTGAGGGCAACTCAGCAATGTCATGCCAGGTTGAGATGGGAGCCAAAAAGGTTTAAGAAAATAAAAAAAGAAAAAAAAACACTAGCAGTTTCGGAAAGGCTGCCAGTAATACTTTGAGCTGAGTGCCCTTAACATTAACCAAATCAGTAACTTTGAATCCTTGACAACTCCATTAGCGTTACCGAAGTGTTTCTACATCCAATTACGACATTTATAATTGATGAATCCTATCAAAATCTATCCAACCATTTTGCTTTCTTGTTTGGAAAAAGAGAAGAGAGCAAAGATCTCATTCTATTTATTGAAATATCAAATTTTATCCCCAATTCAGGTAATTTTTGTTTTCCATTTTTAAATTCCAGTGGTTGACTTGTCTGAGCAACAAAAAATCAAAACCTTTGCAACCATAATTCACATATTTCACTGTGTTCTAGCAAGAAGGATGGAATTGAAATAGAGTAAGCTAGTGTTTCTCCTGAAGTTATATCCTTAATAGGTCACTTGCAACTGAAGTTGGTTACCTTTCAAAGGCCGCCTTAACTTTTAATGGATAAATCATATAGCCTCCTAAATGACTTCTAATTAAGTAGCCATTTTGGAAAGCTATATAAAGGCTTGCAAGTTTCTCCTTTTAAGGAATTAACACATTTAGGTTGTGAGAAGCATACGTGCTCTATTGGTAATATTCCACAAAACTTTAAATCAAGAGACGGAATTGTAATTGTTTAGTCAGGTAAAATGCCTCACGCTACCTGATTCAGAGCATGTGAACAAGAAAAAGGGCAAGTTAAATTTCATACCAAGTGCAATTGGGATCTTATGAACTCATGTCATGGTATAATTTGAGATATCATTATGTTTCTACAGGTCAGTTTACTTTTTGGTAATTTAAATGTGTTTGGGCTTATTGGTGGTCAACTTATATTATTGAGTCTACATATGTGCCTTTTTACAGGTCTAGAATAGTATTTCATACGAAGTTAATGTCGGAGCTAACTCTTCTACAGTGCATGAACCTTGAACAAACCTAATTTTCCATATTAATGGCCGTTAATATTATTCAGTGGTGTGGAAGTAACTTAATTGGCCATTTGCTTGTTCACTTTTCAAATTACCTCAACTTTATTTTGATAAATTAAATAGCCACCTTAATTATTTTCTAAGTAGCCTTTTTGGACAGTTACAGAAAGGATGATAAGTTTCTCTTTTTGAGGAAGCAATGGAAATATTGGAAATAAATAAAGGGATAGTTTAGCTCCTAAGGTGCATTTAGGTTGTGAGAAGGCATATATTCTCTAATGGTAGCATTCCAAAAACCCTAAATCAAGAAAACCCTTCTGTTCTAGTCAAGTGAAATGCCTTAAACAAGTTGATGCCGAGCATCATATGAAATACGTTAGACATGGACTGTAGTCGCAATTCATTGGCTGTAGAAGGGATCAATTTATGTTGTTGGTGTCTATTAAGGCTTTAGTAGGTCTAGAATGGTCTTGTTAGTCAAAGTTTGAACAAATTTTCCATCATCAAAGGCTTAAATCCTTATAACCCTTAACAGAGAGAGAGAGAGAGAGAGAGAGGACCAAAGTAATGCTCAAAACTAAGTACCTATAAAGCACGAACATGTATGGACAAAATTGAAACGACATGATAACCCATAAGCCAATAAGAAAAAATTCTTAATATACTAGATAAGATATGGCAACGACACAAAAAATATATTTACATGTATATTTTGTATGTATATACATATGTATAAAAATCAAATATCCCTTTACAGATCTAAAATTATAATAGTTTGTCATGTTATATCCATATATTATAAATAACGTTATGACTGTCTAACTTACAATATTAAATAAGGGCATGGAAAAAATAAAAGTGATGCTGCATGGACATGGACTTTGAAAATAATAAGACATGATATGTTCTCATTATATTTGTGATGACCTGTGGGCGGGTACGAGACACTGACAGGTTACCACATTGGCAAGCTACGGGTGCATAATCCCACATCGCCTGGAAAAGGGAAAGGTGAAGTGCTTATATGTAGGTGTGTCGTCTCCAATTGGTATGAAGCCTTTTGGAGTAAAGCCCAAGAGCAAAACAGTGCGGGCTCAGGCCCAAAGCGGACAATATCATACCATGTGGTGGAGTGGGTTGTTACAAATGGTATCAGAGCCTGACCCAACCAGATGTGTGCCGACGGGGACGTCGGACCTCCAAGGGGGGTGGATTGTGATGACCCTGTGAGCGGGTGTGCCGTGAGCGGGTATGAGACACTGACAGGCTACCACATTGATGAGCTACGGGTGCACAATCCCACATCGCCTGGGAAAGGGAAAGGTTAAGTGCTTATATGTAGGTGTGTCATTTCAATTGGTATGAGGCCTTTTGGGGTAAAGCCCAAGAGCAAAACCGTGCGGGCTCAGGCCCAAAGCGGACAATATCATATCATGTGGTGGAGTGGGTCGTTACAATATCTCTCAATTCTTCTTACCCGAGAAAGACAAAGTATTTGAAACACTTACCATACTTTTATTTTACTATACCAGAAATGTGGTATTATAATGTTTCGATGTGTCAGGAAGTGTTGTCAAGTATTTGAAAAGTACCAGATACAAGTTTGAAATTACTAAAAAAAAATCAAATTATAGATTCGTTAAGAAGTTAATGACACCTACCAACGATTATTCGAGGAGCATCGGGCCTATTGGAATCTAATACAAATACGATAAAGATACCACTCCCTTAGAAAATTATTTGTGTTTCATAGGAGCTCATTATTTAGAAAGCTGGAACAACTATCTCACAACTCTGATCCACCCAACCCTCATCAAGCCTAACCTTTTTCAGCACTTTTTTATTTTACTATAGTTTAACACCCACACTTTCTAATTAGTTGGGATGCAGAATTTTAAGCAAAACCAATTTTTGAAATGATAGAAAGCTATCACTTGTAAACCAAGCCAATTCCTAAACTTACATCTACAACCCTACAATATTTTTTCCATTGTTTTTAAATCATAGATCTTAAACCACTAGAAACTTTAGCCTATACGACAAAACTAAATAGCACATAGTGTTATACTAAGTTTTCGAGAGCGATAATTGCAGTAAGCATAATGTTTCCATTATCCATTATCTTCCAATCCACTTATTTTTACTAGGTTTTTCCTACTCTGAACCAAAAAGTAACCCCTAAACTGAATACTTTCTTTGTCCCAAAATATATCCTTCGAAAGATTAATGATTTACTTGTTCATCATGAAGAGACAACAAGTGGCTTCACATCCCTAATTCATAGGATTTTCATTAAAGTAATAAAATGAGTTTTCAAATACAGTTATGCGATCTAGCATGCTCTTTACTTGGGACATACAAGTTTCCGACTATGTAGGGGCCTTTATTTGGAGAATATTTTTTCCCATACAGTAAATGAGATTGGAACTCCAACAGCTAACCAACAATAGAGTGAGCAAAGTAGGTAATAGTTCTATTTTTGAATCAAAGGGTTATAGATATTTATGAAATTTGTTCCCACAGGCCAGAGGTTCGAATCATATGTCACCAGATGCTAGATATTAGTGAATAACACATGGATTCAACCATCTGTTGCAAACTTGCACGTAATCTTCATAGTGCTCGAAATAGATTAAAAAAAAGTTCAAGTAATTTTACTTCCAAAGTTTTAATCAATCATGATCTTAGTTGAGTAGACTCTACAATTTTGCTTCAAGATGTGGTCTCCACGATGATTAGGAAATTCCCATTCGAATTCCAATATTTCCAAAGAAGATTAGATATGATTAGGCTAAGATTGCTCCTTGATTCTCACTGTGAAAAATTGCTCTTAATTTGGATGAGACAATTGCCCAAAATAGACAAAGAAAAAGAAAAGCATGTCCTTCCAAGTTTGAAGGATGGGTAGGTAGAATTCAAATATTAAAGTTACATCCTCTCTAACAACTTAAGCTTTTAGAGTAAATGGTGGTTAACATGGTATGTTCAAAGTACCATCATCATAGTAATTATAATTAAGACGTGTTTGACAAAAAGAATGCCACACGTGAGGGAAACGTGTTAGAGGATTTAAAAGTTAAAGTCACACCCTCTCTAAAAACTTAAACTTAGAATAGATGGTGATTAATAGGTATAACATTGTGCGAAAAAACATCTGTCAGGAAGTGTTTCACAGCCCAACTTCTAAAAATTAAGTTCACATATTAAAGTTCCATGCGTTGAACTTCCTGACATTAAACCTTCCATATCATTGCTTTGCCTTGACATAAATCCACATAATTTTCCATTGTAAGAGCAGCAATTTTCTATACCCAGTAAAAGATTTGTCTATGGTTTACTTCATACCAAGTTTAAATCCAAAGGCCTAGAAATGGGAATCTATCAAAATCATTATTTTAAAAAAATATTGACAACGTATGACCTAATTAAGACTATCAAGGACTTAATAAAAAGGCATATAGGTTTTCTCATGAAGCAAACAGGTTCTAATTATACCAAATCATTTTTCTCGGTTGAGTATGATACATTGATAATACTATAGCATGGGGTGAAACATTATCATCATCCTTTCCTTGATCCCAATCAAATGGGGTGTTTCTCCTTCAATTCTTTCATGTACTAAGTTTCGCATTTTCTAATATCCTTTTTTCAAAGATATATTCTTGTTACTTCATCTCATAATAGTTTTTTGTATTCATTGACACTCACCTATTATTTCAACAAGGATTTTTTTTTTAATTTATATATATATATATATATATATATATATATATATATATATAATAAATAAAACAATTAAAGGTACATCTACTGGTCTACGTTATATATGTCCATACTACCTTTCTTTATCTTATTATATCACTAATAGGTGCCACCTCCAACTTCCTCTAATTTATCCGTATGTCCATTCTTGTTTCATTGATATCAACCTAGTGAGTGGCCTCTAGAATAACATGAAACTCATGTGAGGTATGTTATTACCATCTAGAGGAAGCATTCAAGGTAGATTTCCACCTAAAGAGCGGTCATTTAAAGCACTTCCGTACTTCAGGCCCATGCCATTGTAATGAAAAAACGGTTTAATCACTGGAGCTGTCAAAAAAAATTTGTTAATAGAAAAACATGTTAGTTATTTGTTGATATGTTATAAAAAGTACTTTTCACAATTAAACTACTTTTAATTTATTTGGTAAATATTGTTTAAAACACCTCTATTAGTAATTTTACAATAATGTATTATAATGGAATGTTATTATATATGAAAATAGTAGGACCTTATAAAAAAGGATAAAATTGTTTTCATGAAAAATAAAATAAAATAAAATTGTCTCACGAAAAAGAGCTGCGTACAATAAAACAACTCTACCCAGAATTCATTTTTAAAAGATAGAAATTTTAAAATAAAATTGTCTGACGAAAAAGAGCTGCCTACAATTGTTTTTAAAAGCATTTCTTAAGCGGTTCAACAGCAATCCCAATCTCGCAGTTAAAATAATGGTGTTCTTACCAGAAAGAACTGCAAAAATCCAACACAGATAAGTGGGTAAAAGCATTTAAAGTGATTGATTGATTGATTGATTGATTGATCAATGATAGTGCTTTTATATAATTTTTGTAATGCAACTCGCAGCGCCACTTTTTTTTTTATCTTTATTGAGAGAGAGAGAGTATAAAAAGAGAACGTGAAAAGACTAGTTATTTTCAGAGGGTACGTCAACATGAGTGAGAAAATACCATTCTGGGATCACATTCACAATACAGAGGGAAAAAAATTGAAAGTAATAATAATAAAAATAATACAATACAGGGAAAAAAAGAAAAAAAGAAAAGAAAAGAAAAAGACAGAGGCTTTACCTTGTGAGACAGTGGGAGTAGGTAATGAAGGGCTCCTTAAGAATATCCATCACAAAAACAGAGGATGAATAGCAGAGCAGTACTGATAAACTAACATCACGATTTCAACTGCAATTATAAACGCCCGAGTGTATTTCTTCCTTTCCTTTCTTTTTTTTCTTTCCTTTTCTTTTCCATGTTCGATGAGGCTGACCGCTTTGACATCACTCCTTCCTCCTTCGCTCCAGTGATCACCACATCCCATAGAGAAACAGGTAATAAATGACATAATTGCCCCTAGCTCAACGATCTGTTGACGATGCAGAGACTCCTCTCCTCTCCTGTGTCCTAGCCCTCTTGACTGCAATGAAAGAGAGAGAGAATGACATACTTTGGACAGAAGGATCGATGGGAAGGGAAACCTGATCAATGCTCCAGTCACCCACAAGGCCCTATTTATCTTTGGTCATTTGATATTTCAGAGTATGTTGGAAATGTTGATGCCTTCCAGTTGTTTCTTGATGAAGTTATTGGGGGAGGTTGGGGTTGAGAATGTGGTACAAATCATTGCATATTCTGTATTAGCCTGAATGGAGGCCACAGGTAAGCAATTCACGGAAAAGTACAGGACAGTCTTTTGGAGAGTGAGTGCAGTGCCATCTCATTGCAATTGCATAGCACTGGTGTTAGAGAAAATTGGAGCTCTGGATCTTATTAAAGGGGTTATTGGAGAAGGCCAAAATCATTACAAATTTCATTCCCTTAGAGAATTATTTGTGCTTCGTAGGAGCTCACTATTTACAAAGCTGGAGCAACTATCACACAACTCTATTCCAGCCATCCCTCATCAAGCATAACCTTTTCCCCCACTTTTTTTACTTTAGTTTAACAACCAAACTCTATAATTAGTAGGGATGAAGAATCTTCAGAAAAACCAATTTTTTGAATTGATAGAAAACAATCAATTGTATGCCAAGCCAATTCCTAAGCTACCATCTACACCTCCAACAATATTTCCACCACTTTATTAAATCATAAATCTCAAAGAACTAGAGAAACTTTAGCCCATACCACAGCACTAAATAGCACATAGTGTTATACTAAGTTTTTAAGAGCAATCTTCCATGACAGCTGCAGTAGGCATAATATTTTCTTTATCCATTATCTTCCACTCCACTTATCTTTTCAAGGTTTTCCCTGCTCTTAACCAAAACAGTGACCCCTAAACCGAATAGTTTCTTTGACCCAAAATATATATCGTGACAAGATCAATGATTTACTAGTTCATCTTGAAGAGACAACAAGCGGCTTCACATTTCTAATTCATAAGATTTTCATTCGAGTAATTAAATGGGTTTTCAAATACTGTTATGCAATTCAGCATGCTCTTTACTTTGGGACAAACAAGTTTCTAAGTATCTAGGGTCCTTAATTTGGAGAATATTTTTTCCGAAACAGTGAATGGGATTGGGACTCCAATAGCTAACCAACAATGGGATGTGCATGGTAGGTAATAGTTCTTTTTTGAAGCATAGGGTTATAGTTATTAATGAAATTTGTTCCCATAGGCTAGAGGTTCAAATCATATATCACCAGATGAAAGTTATTAGTGACATAACAAATGTATTCTACAATCTGTTTCACGTGATCTTCATAGTGCTCGAAATAGATTAAAAAGTTTAAATAATTTGACTTGCAATGTTTCAATCAATCATGATCTCAGTTGAGTAGACTCTACAACTTTGCTTCAAGATGTGGTCTCCTCGATGAGTAGGAAATTCCCATTCAAATTCCAGTGTTTCCAAAGAAGATCAGGTATGATTAGGCTAAGATTGCTCCTTGATTCTCACTATGAAAAATTGCACTTAATTAGCATGAAATGATTGCACAAAATAGACAAAGAAAAAGAAAAGCATCTCCTTCCAAGTTTGAAGGGTGGGTGGGTATTGTTAAAGAATTTAAATATTTAAATTACACCTTCTCTAACAGCTTAAGCTTTTGGAGTAAATGGTGGTTAACATAGTATCAGATCATGCTAAGTCTTGAGTTCAAAGTATTGGCACCCTAGTAATTAAATTAAACACGTCTTGAACCAAAAGAATGCCACACATGAGGGAAATATGTTAGAGGATTTAAATATAAAAGTTACACCCTCTCTAACAACTTAATCTTTTAGAGTAGATGGTGATTAATAGGTATAACATTGTGCGAAAAAAAAACATCTGTCAGTAAGTGTTTCACAGCCCAACTTCTACATTTAAGTTCACATATTAAAGTTCGATAGGCTGAACTTTCTCACATTAAACCATCCACATCATTGCTTTGCCTTGACATAAATCCGCATTATTTCATACTAAGATTAGAAATTTTCTAAAATTGGTAAATGATTCAAACATGGTTTACTTCGTACCAAATTAAATGCAAAGGCCTAGAAATGGGAATCTTTTTTTTTTTTCTTTTCATAATTCTAGAAATGGGAATCTATCGAAATCATTATTTAATATATATATATATATATATTGACAATGTATGACCCAATTAAGACTATCAATGACTTAATCAAAAGGCATACAGGTTTTATCGTGAAGCAAACAGGTTCTAATTACACAGAACCATTTTTCTAGGTCGGGTCTTATGATATTATAGCATGGGGTGAAACATTACTTCATCCTTTCCTTGCCTTGGTTCCAATCAAATGGGGTGTTTCTCCTCCAGTTCTTTCACATACCGAGTTATGCATTTCTTATATCCATTTTCTTATTAGATATTTTCTCGCTACTTCATCTATTACTAGTTTTGCTACCTCATTGACACTCACCTATTGTTTCGACAAGGTTTTTCTTTTAAAATAAAAATAAATGTCTATACCACTTGAGCTTCTTTATCTTATTATATCACTAAAAGGTGCCACTCTAACTTCCTCTCCTCTTATAGTTTAGTCTAATTTATTCATATGTTCATTCTTGTTTGTTTCAGTGTTATGAACCTAATGGAATGTCAGCAGTGTTATTATAGCAAATTTGATCAGAGTAATCAGTATGTATACCAGTACTTACAGATATTTAAAATTCATGGGGATGAAGATAAGTTGTTGTGGCAACCAAGATCTTTTTCTTTCAAGGCAGCTTGAGAGGCTTCCACAAGAGGTTTTCTGGTATGGTTTAGGGTGGAATGGAGGTAGACCAAGGTGGTCCATTCAAACAGTTCTGGTCTGAAACAATGCTGTTATAACCAGTCACTATTTACAGAAAAGAGGCACCTCATTACCATCCATCTGTTTTATATGCTTCAATAATGAGGAGAGCATTGATCACTTATTTTGTAGTTGTGAGTTTGCAAGGCAAGTATGGACTGGCCATCAGAGATTTGCCATTGGAATATGCAGGAACCTGATACAATTCTGGGGCTGGCGCAGCAATTTGTTCACAAATTTTCCTCCAAGAGCAGTAGGAATAAAATGCCCAGAATGATATTCTCTGCTGCTTCGTACTTCCTATGGACTGAGAGGAATGAGAGGTTACATAAATCTCAGCATAGAGATCCTAGGGAACTAGTTAAACGTATCATTTGGGAAGTTTCAGATGTCTTGGGGGTATGCCTCCAAGACATGATCTCCTAGTTTTTTTATTTATTTCAAGGACCTAAAAAAAAAAAAAAAAAATCTAATAGATTGTTACCGCCATCTCGAGGAAGCATTCATGTAAGAATTCCACCTAAAGAGCTGTAATTTAAAGCACTTTATTGAGCCAGTGCTGTTGTAATGAAAAAGGTGTTTTTATCACTGAAGCTGTCACAAAATTGTTGTTATTAGAAAAATCTATTGCTTATTTGTTAATCCATTATATAAAAAACTTTTCACAATTAAAGTATGTTTTAATTTATGTGGTAAATATTGTTTAAAACAACAATTTAATTACTAATTTTACAATAATGTCTTATAATGGAGTGTTATTATCTTTGTAACAAATGATAACTTTGTTTTTATAAAAAATAAAAATGAATAAAATTGTCTGACAAAAAACAGCTACCTTCAAAATATAGAAACTTTAGCTTTATTCAAAATCTCTAACATAAAAAATAAAAATAAAAGTAAAAAATATAAATATATATATATATATAGATATAAAAATAAATAAATAAACATTTCTAAATGGTTCAACAGCACCCGGTTAAAATAATGGTGTTCTTGCCAGAAAGAACTGCAAAAATCCAACACAGATAAGTGGTAAAAGCATTTAAAGTTATTTATTTATTGATTGATAATGCTTTTATATAACACCCAGCGCCACTTTTTTTCTTTACTGAGAGAGAGAGGTATGTCAACATGAAAGAGAAAATACCATTTTGCGATCACGTTCACAATAGAGAGATTAATATATATATATATAATAAAAATAAAATAAAATAAATAAAAATTGAAAGTAATAATATTAATACATTAGTGGAAAAAATAATATTAATAAATAAATAAATAAAAGCTTTACCTTGTGAGATGGTGGGAGTTGGTAATGAAGGGCTCCTTGTTAAGAACATCCATCCTGTCAAAAATAATAATAATAATAAAATAAAATAAATTTAATAACATACAGTACATCACAAAAAAACATAGGATGAATAGCAGAGCAGTACTGATAAACTACCATACACGTGCGAGTGAATTTCCCTTCCTTTCCGTGTCGAATCACTATACTTCTATTCTTCCTCCTCCGTTCCATCAGCGGTCACCGGATCCAATAGAGAAACCGATGGAAAAATGATAGATGGAAATAACATAAGCGATCTCTTTTCTCGGGTCTGGGTCGAAAGAGTGAGAGAGAGCATCTGTTTCTTTTTCAGAGGAAAGAATAGGTTCCCTAGCAGCCACCAATGTAATAGAAAAGTCTGTTGTCACGGGAAGCTCAAAAATGCATTGGTAGATTCTTCTATGAATCTGGCATTGATTTTAGTGTTGCAAAATCTCTTAGCTTCCAGAAAATGATTAACGCCCCACCCACTTGTGGTGAAGCTGGATTTAAGATCCCCATTTGTCAGGGGTTGAAAGAGAGGATTCTCCCTGAATCCTCTCTGAAGAAGTAAAAGAGATACAACAGTATGAGAAAGAGATCAGAGATTCATGAAAAAACACTGGATGCAGCGTTATACTGGACGGATGGATCAATGGGAAGGGTCGAGACCTGATCAATGTTGTAGTGGATTGATTGACCACACGGACCTATTTATCTTCGCTCATTTGATATTTCAGCCTATATTGGAATTGTTGATGAGGCCCTTATCTTGGATGAAGTTCATAGGGGAGGTTAGGGTTCTGGATGTGGTACAAAACGGATCACATATCCTGCATCTGTCTGGATGGATGGAGGTTGCAGGTAAGGTATTTATGGACACACGAAATTCTTTTGGTCAGTGAGTGCAGTGATTTCATTGCATTGCACTAATGTTACAGAAAATTGAAGCTATAGATGTTATTAAAGGGGTATTGGAGAAGGCCAAAATCATTACAAAATCATCTCTTTACGGTCATGCGGCAGTTTGAAGCTTCTGCGATGCCATTAGCTGGGACCTAATAAATCCCTCCAATATTAGGTCACCATTGCCGATGCCCTTCTTCTCTTCTTCTTCTTCACTCTAGAGACGATGGTTTCAGAGAAGACGAAACTAGAGAAACAGAAACTGTTTGTTTAGGTGAGCGATGCTCTTCTTCTGACGTATACATCTACTTGAGTTGTTGCGTTTTGAACTGTGGTGGGTTGTCGCATGGTGGGGTAGGTTTTGGACCAGGGCTTACAAATCAACATGTTGTTTCATAAAGGGCTTGGCCCGTAGGTTTTGGACCAGGGCTTACAAATCAATATGTTGTTTCATAAAGGGCTTGGCCCGTAGGTTTTGGACCAGGGCTTACAAATCAACAAGTTGTTTCATAAAGGGCCAATCTAAAATTTGGTTTTTTTTTTTTTTTTTCCACCGGTTATACTGTGCTTGGCTGACGAACATAACTTCGTGTAGATTATTGTATTGTTTGTGAATAGAGGAGGTTTCATGAACATAAGTCCGTAGGGTCGTGAACACGTTCATACGCATAAATTTATATAAATTCATGAACATTATGCTCATAAACAAGGCAAAAAAACTTGAACACGAACTCGAATACAATAACTAAGCTCACAAATGATAGCCGAGCTCAAACAGGCTCAAGTCCAACACGTCTCATCTCGGTTCATTTGCCTTCCTAATTTGGATTATTCGTAAAGGAGAATGAAAAATGAAAAATAAAAAATAAAAATATGAAAGGGGGAGAAGGTTGTGTTATGTAGACTGTACAAAGCATTTTTAGTGGGATTATCTCAGAAGCATGTTAATATCAAAGACAATAAAGCACGTCAAACTCTAAAAAGGTGGCTAATATACACTTAAATATAAATATTCATTTTTATATATTTTGAAGAACATATTTATAATTTATATACTAAAATTACATAAGTTAGATAATGAAGCCAATCAAATATCAAAACGAGTATATTATATTATATATGATATGGTTCATTGCATACGATGACGTATTTTGAGTGTCAAATTTTTCAATATTATAATGTAAATAGATTTTTGTATGACGAATAATGTATGATGTGTTGATTGAGTATCCAAATGTGTCAACCAAATTCCTAAGATGCGTTGTTCAAGTCTTTATTCAAAATGTGTCGGTTAGATGTCAATAATAATAAAATTAATTTAAAATTGTGGATACGGCCGTATCTAAGAGTGTCGAATACAATAACTTTGTAAAAGCGTATGATAATGGATTCAAATTAACTGATGGTGTTTAAAAAAATTTAAAAAGGTAGCTCAATGTACGGGTTGCATACCATTATTACCATGAAATTTGATTTATGAAATTTTATTATACAGAAGGACATTTTATTTTTCGTTTCAATTCTTTCTTAAATACATTTTTTGTTTTTCTAACTTACAAAATCCCAAATGGGCATTATACAATGGCCTGATTGATAGCGTTCAAGTGTTCAACTCTTAAGACACGGACGTAGAAAAGTATGTGAGAGATGGTGGCTTTTAACAAAAGATGTTGGGTGGGGGGGGCAACGGTGAAAAAAATTTCAAGACAAATTTTACATTTTATAGTTATATAATTTAAAAAAAAAAAAAAAATTTATTAGGTATATAAACAAAAAGGAAAAAAAAAAAATCATGGCCTATATTAGGTCCATGCGTGGTGTATTCGAATTCCCCACCCTAATTCATCATAATAAAAATAAAAAATGGACAAATTAATGTTATATGTAAACGCATTAATTAATACTAGAAATAGTTAGCCTGTAGATAGTGTTTCGTCAACGTATTAATTAATTATTAATGATGCCAGTAAAGTTAGCGAGTAGACAACGATTACGTTAATATCGCTAATAAGATTGTGGAAAGATGTTTGACTGACCGTTGGCTATTGGAGTTTGCAACACTCATTAATTGCATCATTTTGTCTTAAAAAATCAATATAGTTTGAACATAATTGGTTCGAAGTTCAAAAAAACTAATACTCCAATATTTTAAAAGTAATGCTCTTAAGAAAACTTGTTCATTATGAATTTTTCATTGTAATTTGTAAATATCTATAATGTAGCTAGAGTCGTATAAATAGGTGAGGAGTCATTCGTATACAAACAAGCTTGTGAGAGAGCCTTGTACACTTGAGTAATAACAGAATTATTATTCACCTGAGTGTACAAACAGAGTGAAGGGTTTCCTTGAGTAAAAATATAAAATCACAACGAAACCATTTTTTATTATTACCTATCCGTGCAAATTAATGTCATCTATAACGGTTACCAAGTGTGAACGCATTAATTAATTACTCCGCACTTTAATAATTGACAAATTAATGTCATTCGTCAACACATTAATGAATTATTAATGTTAATCTTAATACTAGTAATGTTTAGTCAACACAATAATTAATTACTTCATCTATCCCCAAAAGAATGTCCTTTTTGGGAAGTAAAAATTTTTAAGGGGACATGTTGACCATGTATTGTCACTTGCCCTTTTAAGTTTTTAATATAATTTTAAACTTACATATATGGAAAGATGTAAAATATATTGTTTGAAAAAGGAAAATAGACAATTATTTTGGGACAACCCAAAAAGGAAAAATGGACATTCTTTTTGGGACAGAATGATTATTAATAGTGTTAGCGATTGTTCCGTGTTCGAATTCCCCAACCTAATTCGTTCGACTGAAAATAAAAAATACAATGAAATAATCTTTTATTATTATTTAAACCTTCTAATAAATGGGCAAATTAATGTCATCCCTATATACATTTAAAAAAAATATATATACAGACCCTCTAATAAATGGACAAATTAATGTTATCCGTAAACGTATTAATTAATACTAATAATAGTTAGCCTATAAATAGTGTTTCATCAACGTATTAATTAATTATTAATCATGCCAGTAATAGTTAGTAAGGCTGATCACAAATCGGATCAGTTCGGTTTGGGGGTAAAGTTCTCAATTCGGTTCTTACGGATTGGTGAAATTTGAAATCGAACCGATCTGTGGGGACCTTTAATTTGAACCAAATCGAACAATGAAATAACGGATTGGATCGGTTCGGTTTCCACGGGCTTTTCAAATATCCCAATATGATTACATTTTATGACTCATTAAAATCACAAATTAGTAATTAAAAACATGTAACTAACTTTTTAACATATATCACCACAAACTTAAATTACCTAATAACAAAATAGAGTTTTTTTTTTTTTTTTGCTGGCACCGGAACTCACCTAGGCAGGGCCCCTTCGGGACCCCCCCCAGGCTACAAACCAAGGATGCTGTCGACGGCCTCACACCTCAGCAACAATTTTAGTCGAGAATTATAATGGTGATGGACGGGTTCGAACCTGGGACATGAGCGTTCCCAAGTCGTTAACTTACCAACTCGGTCAAGCCCCCGGGGGCAACAAAATAGAGTTGTAAATCATCCAAAAGTGAAAAATCTTAAATAATGAATAAAAAATATATAAATACAGTAAGTATATTGTATATATATAGTTATATATATAATATATTAATATAAAATTACGGTAACGGGTCGGATCAGTTCGGTTAACGGATCGAATCGGTTTTTCCATGGCCCAATTCGTTAAATGAACCACGAATAGCGGATTGCTATTTTTTTAAATCATCACCGAATCATGAGATTTGAAAACCGAACCGAACCACACGGATCGGATTGGTTCAGACCGGATTGACAGATTATTTGTTCACCCCTAATCGTTAGCGAGTAGACAACATTTTCATTAATATGGCTAATAAGATTGTTGGAAGATGTTTGACTGAACGTTGGCTATTGCAATTTGTAACACTCATGAATTGCATCATTTTGTCTTAAAAATTCAATATAGTTTGAACATAATTGGTTCCAAATTCAAAAAAACTAATACTCCAATATTTTAAAAGTGATGCTCTCAAGAAAATTTGTTCATCATGAAAATTTCATTTTAACTAATAAATTATTATTATATTAAAATAAAGTTAATTAATTTGATCTCTTATAATTGCAAAAGGTTACACCACACAGGAAACAAGCGAGTGCTGAGGCATGGCATGAGAATATTGCAGTTCTATGATCTAGTCTTTTGAAGCTGTGTAGAGAGTCATGAAGTATTGTAGATAGTGTTGGAATGTTCTAAAATATTAGAAAGATACTAGAGAAATATAATTTTGTAATTTGTAAATATCTATAATGTAGCTAAAGGTGTATAGTGATGAGTCATTCGTAAACAAACAAGGTTGTGAGAGAACTTTATACACTTGAGTAATAATAGAATCATTATTCACTTAAGTGTGCAAATCGAGTGCAGGGCTTCCTCAAGTAAAAAAAAAAAAATCACAATGAAAACATTTTTTTATTATTACCTATCCATGCAAATTAATGTCATCTGCGGTTAACAAGTGTGAACGCATTAATTAATTACTTCGCACTTTAATAAATTGACAAATTAATGTCCTCGATCAACACATTAATAAAGGAGTAAGTGCAAAAAACACCCCCGTATTTTCAAAAATGTGCAAATAACACCTCCGTTGTTCAAAAGTCACCCCTATAGTTTCAAAATAGTGCAAATAAGGGCTTTTTGTCAGAGGGGTAAGTAAAAATACGAAAATACCCCCCAATAGTCTTTATTCAATAATAAGAAAAAAAAATTTAAAGTTAAAATTACCTAAATAGACATTAACCTAAACTACGTCATTTTGGGTGATGTGGGTAGTGAAATCTTATTTCTCTCGGCTTTAATTTTTTTTTTTTGATGAATTTCTCTCTCTTCTCTTAACTCGCCGGTGTTCATAGTGAAGGAGGGTTTTCATTCAAGCCGCATTTATCCCTCGACTTCGCCGTTCTCCTTATCGTTCTCCTTGCCATTGACCGCCGTATCATCAATCTTAGATCAGACCGTTTGTAAGCATTCTTACCAATTATCTATGAAAGCCCTAATAACCAATCTCTCCTCACACCACCTCCTGCTACGCTGCACTCTTACCACCGAAGCCGTCTAGATTGCAGAATCGGCTAATCAAGTGAAATGGGGCTACAAGGAACCAGAAATCGATCACCCCTCTGGGTCAGTGGTTGCCTAATATCGCCGTCGACACTTGCATCATCCTCGCT